TTAGGCCAAAATAATGATGATGAAGATTATGATTGTATTTTTGCTTTAACTAACTTTAACACTTCTCTCTTTTAAACAAATTTTTTTAAAAAGATTTATTTATTTATACAAGAACCAGGTACAGGCCAGATGTGTGGGAGGGTGAGAGGATCCAGAGTGGCGAACAGAACAGGCAGACTGACTGAAATACACTGCTGAGGGGAGCAGAGGGCGAGACAGGAAAGGTCTGCTTGCCATGTGGGTATCTCCACTGTCGGCGGGGATCGAACTGGCACTGCAGGGCTGCAGACAGCTTCACAGCCCTGTGCTCAACCACCTGCACCACCAGGGAGGCCCAACACTTCTCTTTAAAAACTTTTATTGGGACAACTTTGAACTTTTATTCTTGTCAGTGATTAATAGACAATAAATATAGTGACTGCGAAGCTAAGATTGAGAATTTTTTAGGTTGTACACTATTTAGGTGGAGGAAGGACTCTACTATATACTATGCTAGATAGTCCTCAAACCTCATCAACAATATAGGCCTTTCAAATTTTTAGATATTGTCTTTTAGATAGTGTTTCCAGGAGCTGGACCAGTACTTGAAACATAAAGAGAAGTTGGGGAAGTTCTGAATGCAAGTTCCTCTTTCATTTGCAACTTTGAACATTGTCCTGAAAGAAGAGGCAGTTGAACCAAACCTTTCATTCCTAAAGAATTCAAAACTTCTTGTCTGCTTTTTTCTATGTGAAATCACACAAATCTCTCAGGGAACAGAACAGTGAATTCATATTGATCATAGGGATTAATGGGATACCCATGAAAATTGCTTTCTTTATTGTAACGCCTTTACCCCTGCCTGGTAAATATAGAGTCTAACCTACTCTGGCAGGTATAACTTGGCTTCCAGCAAAGACCACCTGCTTTCTATCTTGCCCTTTCCCCTTCAAGGTCATTCATTATTGGTAGGTTCAGGTAGGAACCTTATGTTTCACTTGACAACTGACTTGTAACTTTGAGTTTCATGGTCCTACAGCTATCATTGTTGCTTCGTGAAAAATTTGAAATTTGGACAGTGATTTGCAAACTGCTGCACACTGCAACAACCAAGGGCTCTTTAAAAATTACTGATGCCTGGTTCCTACTCTGATAATTTGTAATTTAATGGGTGTGTGATGTGACTTGGCATTGGGGTTTTAAAAAACTCACCAGGTGATTTTAATATGAAGCTTTCCTTGAGAAGAGAGACCAAGGGTAGAATCGTATCCTTTTAAAAAATCTTAGTCTGGATTTACTTGAAGATGCTTGTGGAAATAAATGCTTAGAATAGTTTTCTGGTCTTGGGTTGCTTCAGGAGACTCCTCATGGACTTTCGAAGGGCTCAGTCCTTTGACAGGCATAAGTTGGCTCTCAGATATCATTTTAACTTGGCAAAGGCTGCCAGGTGTCCTTTCTTCCTGGTAGTTCCCACGTCTACTTTATTCCTTGGTGTCTTTTTGTAGTTCCCTAATCTAGAATGGTTTAACCTTATCTTTTTGCTACTCCCCAAACAAACTCATGTCACGTTAAATGTTTTATTTATTTATTTTTTAAAAAAGATTTATTTATTTTTGCATAAAAGAGCTGGGGTGCAGGCCAGAGGTGCGGGGAGTAGGGGAGAGGTGAGAGGATTCACCAGAGACAGAGTAGTGAGTAGAACAGGCAGATCTGCTGAAATACACTGCTGAGGGGAGCAGCGGGCGAGACAGGAGAGGCCTGCTGCACCATGTGGGTCAGCTCCCTGGCCGGCTGGGGATTGAACTCAAGCTGCACTGGCTGCAGACAGCTTCATAGTGCTGAGACTTAACCCCTTGCACCACCAGGGAGGCCCCAAATGTTTTATTTTTTATCACTATAGGAAAATGTATAACAAACACAAGCAAGATACAATGCTTATAAATTTCTTGTCATAGTAGTCCCTCTAAAAGTTCTTGCTTTCCCTCTGAGATGGACTGCTTTTGTTGGGGGTGGTAGTGAACAGAAACATTTTACTTCATATAAGGTTATAAAGACCTTGCATGAAGGCCTTTTTTCTGAATGGTACAGTCAGGTAATACAGGTTTTCCCTGCTACTGAAAGTAGAACATTCTTATTTGGTACGATATGATAGTTTAACTTTGGGGTTAGGAACACTATTACCATTAATTTATACTGAAAGCAATTTGAACATTCCCAGACCCAAAAAATTGTCTGCCATATCACACCAAATAGATATGCTCTGCTATTGTAGTGGGAAAAACATTTTATAAAGAAATACAGAGAAATAAATAACTCTTTATTTAGATCTTTGCATCCTCACACTAAGAAATGCTTGGTTTAATGTCAGGCATTTTGGGCCTCCTCAATGACCTAGGGGTTAGGTTTCAGCATTATCACCTCTATCGCTGAGTTTGATACCTGGTCAGGAAGGTGACCCACCTGGCGCAGCAGACTTCTCCTATCTCATCTGCTGCTCCCCTCAGCAGTGTATTTCAGTAGCTCCACCTGTTCTGTTCCCCACTCTGTGTCTGGTGACTCCTCTCACCCCATCCCCTCACCTCTGGCCTACACCCCGGTTCTTCTGTACAAAAAAAGGGGGGCCTTCTTTTTCCTTGGAATTTATAGATTTGGGGGCATATCCTCTCCCTCTGTGCTTCTGTTTTTTCCACTACCAGTGTATTTTCTCTCTGAATTTGGGTTTGCTTCTGCCACTCACCCTTTTTAGCAAATATTGAGTTCTTATGTGTATAATCATGTGTATTATGGTAGTGAAGAACCTTTTATTATTAAGCTTGTATCTGTTGGAAGGACTTTACCTCTTACAGATTAGGCTCCCTATATTCGACTGTCCACCTCACCCTTCCACCACTGCCCCTTACACACACACACCCTGAATCTCTTGTTCTCTGCCTAATGTCATTGCAGTCTTGGGATTTGTGACTTTTGTGGAGTTTTGATATGGCTGGGTTTAAGAACTTTGTAGAGGAAAAGACAGACCCTGGGTGGACATAACGATTTTAAGCTTGTGAGCTTGTAGCTTTTGCCAAATTTCAAGTGAGGTCAGTTGGCATAGGTAAAAATCTTAGGTAGTTTAAATCCTCTGAGCCTTAATTTGACCATCTTTACGGTGAGAATAATAATAATAATATCATCTAAGTTTGGGTGTTATTGCAAATATAAATGAAATAGCTGCTGTAAAGTGTTTATTGCAGTTATACACATGATAAGAACTCAATATTTGTTCACAGCTACAACTATTTTATTGACATAGCTGTAAAGAGGCTGTGGTTAAATGCCTCTTTGAAAGCTTAGAGTGTTACCTGCATGACTGACTAGTTGTATAACCTCGGGCAGATTATTTTTTATTTATTTTATTTTTTAGTTTTTTAGTTTTTTTTTTCTTTTTTTTCCCCCTCTTTTCTGTATTATTTTATTTTTTAAAAGATTTATTTATACAAGAACCAAGCTGCAGGCCAGATGCATGGGAGTGTGAGAGGATTCACCAGAGACAGAGTGGGGAACAGAATAGGCAGAATGACTGAAGTACACTGCTGAGGGGAGCAGCGGGTGAGATAAGAGAGGTCTGCCACTCCATGTGGGTTGCTCCGCGCCGGCGGGGATGGAACCAGACTGCAGAAGCTGTGGACAGCTCCACAGCACTGCACTCAACCACCTGCACCACCAGAGAGGCCCATGGGCAGATTATATAACTGCTCTTTGTCTCAGTTTTCCTACCTGTTAAATGAGAGTAGTATTAGTATGGGTTGTTGTGAGAGTTAAATTAGTTAACTTTTATAATGAGCTTAGAGCAGTATCTGGTACAAAGTCAGTGATTAAACTTTTTTATTACTATTTTTTTAATACATACAAGAACTGGGGTACAGGTCAGAGGTACAGGGGGTAAGAGGATTCACTAGAGACATAGTGGTGAGCAGAACAGGCGGATCTACTGAAATACACTGCTTAGGAGAGCAGCAGGTGAGATAGGAGAGGTCTACTGTGCCATGTGGGTAAGCTCCCTGGCTAGGGATCAAACTCATGTTGCAGTGGCTGGTGATAGCTTGATAACACTGAGACTTTAACCCTTGCTCCCTCAGGGAGGCCCAAAATCAGTGATTATAAGTGAGTAGTGGTTGTTATTTAAAGTACCCTATTTGCTTTGGTTTTGAGTCTCTTCCTTGGATCTGGTCTTGGATCTGCATAGTAACCTAGAAGTTTCCAGGCTGTCATTTTAATTTTCATCTGTCCAAATACCTAGAGTATATGTTGTCAATTCTCTAGTGACGTCATGCCATGAAGCTGTCATGTGACTGCTTCAAGACAGATTCCAGTTCATCCTCCTCCTGGATGTTGGGTCAAATAGTTTAGCACACAGGTCATACTTGAAAAGACTTAGGAGCCGGTAAAGATTTATAAAGGAAAATGATGGCTGGGGTCGTCAAAAGTCCAAGTTTTGAACCTCTTGATTTTTATGACTTTGCAGGGTTTTGTGGGTCTAGTGAGTAGTAAACTATCTTCAGAGATCACCTAACGCCACTTATGGGAAGAGAGCACATTTCCTTATTTCTAATTTTAATTTTGGCATCTACCTTTTTAATTTAATTTTTAAATATTTTGAAGGAGAAGGAGAAGGATTGCCTTTTATGTATTTGGGCTGATGGACCTAAATTTGAGTAGGTTGAGATCGCCTATAAATCTTATTATATAGTCACAGTTTTAGTTACAAATGACGGGAAATTGTTTTATGAGTTTTGTGACTATGGTGGCTTTTTTTTTAAGATACTCTCAATAATTGACATTTATTTCTAATTTAAATCTGAGAGTTATGCAAATGAAACTGATGAGGCCTGGAAGCTTGCTTAGTGATGGAGAAAGTTGTCAAAGATGTTGATACGGTTCTAAACCAAAACTATAGAATATCTTCCTAAATCTTTCATTGTTTATTCTGTTACTGATACAGGTTAAAAGACTAACTGTCTTTTTTCTTTTCAATTTTACAGAGTTCAATTGAGAGTTGGAGGCAACCTTGCTGAAGATGAATATATAATATTAGAAGAGGAGGTTTTTTTTTTTCTTTCTTCTTTCAAATCTTGATTGCTTGGTGGCTTGGCACTTTCGAGTCTGTTCTTTTCATCAGGATGATTTCAAGAAAAAATTTGTCCCAGAAATTGAGTTTATTGTTGCTTGTATTTGGACTCATTTGGGGATTGATGTTACTGCATTATACTTTTCAACAGCCAAGACATCAAAGCAGTGTCAAGTTACGTGAACAAATACTAGATTTAAGCAAAAGATATGTTAAAGCTCTAGCAGAGGAAAATAAGAATACAGTGGATGTCGAGAATGGCGCTTCTATGGCAGGATATGGTAAGATAACTGTCGACTATTCCTAGTCTTCTCTTCAACTTATCCCTCTTTAAAAATGATCAGTCATGGCACTCCAGCTCATTACTTCATGCACAGGTCTTTACAAAATAATTTTTCCTTGACTTTTAATTATGAAAAGATTCAAACATTCAAAAATAGAAGTAGTATGATAAATACTTTTATATCATCACCTTGATTTAAAAGTTATTAATGTTTTGCAATATTTGTTTTGTCTAGTTTTTGAAAAATATTTTAATTATAGAAATTGTGACATTTCATTGCTAGATATTTCCGCATACAGCTCTAAAAAAGGTGAGCTTTTCCTACATAATCACAGTACCATTGTTATACCTAGTTCATATTTAAATTTTTCTGATTGTCTTACCAGTAAACCATCAGTTATATAACATCTATTAATTCCTAAGAAGAAGCATTTACCTTATTTTCAGTATTGTTTAATACCACTCTTCCATTCACCTCCTTCATTCCTGCTTTAAGTTCCTTATACCTGCCATGTTCTCTCTTGCCTTCAAGACTTAGAAGTATGTAGGTATTTTCTCTATGTTAATGCTTGTTTTCTTTTAAACTAAATTTATATATGTATGCATTTAAAAATAAAAATGTGATGATTCCTAAAATTTAAAAGAGCAGATCTCACCCCCAATAGATCGCAGATTCCCCATTCTTCCATGCTAGCATTTAAAATTCTTTCATCTGACTTATTTGATAATTACCTCCATACCTCTAAATGTGCTCTATCAGCTACTTGATTTTTTTTTCATGTATCAGAGTAATCTGTTAACTTCCCACTATACAAGGTGAGAGTTCAGCTTTCTTTCTTACCCCAAATGGCTTTCATTCATACATGTCTCTTGTCCTGTTGTTTTTATATCATAATTTTGGCTAGAAGAGTATTCATTGTTTTCATTATAAGGACTTCATTAAGATATTTATTATTGAGCCATACAGTATATGGTTCATTACAATTTTCCTTCCCTATGTGACTATATTTTTCCCTCTAGAATTAATGTCAATCTTTCATTACCTAAGTTTTCTACCCTAATTACAACCCAATATATTCCAATATATTCAGGTATATTAAGTATTTCATCAGTTCTTTATCTTGAAGAAATCTTTCCTGGAGTCTTCTCATCTGCTTTGTCCTGGACTGTTCTGTAGTTTTGCATCAGTAAAGTGTTTTAGGATCTCACTTCTACCATCATCCTGGGAATTCCCTTCACCTCTCTCTTGTTTTATATCGCCTATTTCTTAGAATTCTGTGGCTTCTTTTTTATTGGCTACTCTCTCATTTTAGGGGAACAGATCCTGTAGTAGGTTCCTGAGAAAGGTAAAAGGGACATAAAAGTTTTGAGTCGTTGCATATCTGAAAAGGTTTTTTCCCTTCTACCCTTATGTTTTAGAAGCTTGTGAGATCTTTGTCCCGTCCCATTCTGAAATTTCTTGATGTGACTGGATATGGAATCTTTTATACATGTGCTGGGACTTCAGTTCACTTTAAATCTTTTATACATGTGCTGGGACTTCAGTTCACTTTAAAACCTGAATCCAGAGTCAGCAGAGGTTAAATGCCTTTGTTCAGTTTACCATCTTTACCAGGGAATGCACTGAACACGTTCTGTTTCTCTTCTCCCCTTTTTGATTTTTTTTTTAAAGATTTATTTATGCATACAAGAACTGGGGTACAGGCTGGAGGTGCAGAGGATGAGAGGATTCACCAGACAGAGTGGGGAACAGAACAGGCAGACTGACTGAAATACACTGCTGAGGGGAGCAGTGGGCGAGTCAGGAGAGGTCTGCTGCGCCATGTGGGTAGCTCCCTGGCTGGCTGGGGATCGAATTCATGTTGCAGTGGCTGCAGATAGCCTCATAGATTGCATCTCAATCCCTTGTGCCACCAGGGAGGCCCCCTTTTTGATGTTTTTCAGGAAGGTTAAAGGTTAGTTTGAATTTGGTCTTGAGGATCAAACTTTGTATTTCACTTAGGCCAGGGATGCTGAGAGAAGCAATAAAGAAGTGTTTCTTTTGGAACAAGAGAAATATGTACTTAAAAAAAATTCCTTCTACTGGAGTAAAATTATTGCCGTATTTGTACTGTGCTATCCAGCTATCTATAACAACTCACTTATAAGAGCAAAAATGAGCCCCACAATATGTGGTATTTTATAAACTTTTTAAAAATGTAATACATCATGGAAATATTTCCATGTCAGTGAATATGTACCTGCATAGTTTAGTGGCCATACAGTATTTAACTAATTCTCTGAAATTTTTTTACCTGAAGTATAATGGACGGACAACAATATTCTGACATTTGATTTGGCATTTGTTTACATTGTGAAATGATCATCATAATAAGTCTGCCACTTTTTTTAAAGCAACTTTTAAATTTGCAGTATTGTTAGTGATCATAGTTCCCATGCAGAACATTGTATCTCCCTGACTATATTTATTCTATAACTGAAAGATTGCACCTTGATCCCATTCACTCATTTTGTCCACCCCTTGCCCTTTACCCTTCTGGTAACCATTGATATGTTTCAGTCTAAGTGATTTTAATTTAGTGTTTTTTTTTTTTTTTAAGAGTCCACATAAAAGTGGAGTCATATGGTAGTTTCTCTGACTTATTTCTGATTATAAAGGTACTGTGTTTGTTATAGGCATTCAGCTAGCTTGGTAATATACAATGAGTAAAAGTAAAGCAAAGAGAACCTCAGTTAATTTGGCATATACTGGGGGTCAGCATCCTTTTTTCTTAAAGGACTAGTAGTAAATATTTTCAGCTTTGTGTGTCATAAGGTCTCCGTTACAATCAAACAGTGAATTGGGGATACTGAGACGCTGAGTCTCACACAGATTGTTACAGAGCACCTTGTAGTTGATGCATGGTTTCTATTTCTGGTTCTGAATCTTCATCAGCACCAGTCTTTTGCCATCCAAAGTCCCATCTGACTCGGCTTTCTTTTAAGAATTTTGTTTTTCCCTCCATTATTGTGGATGAATACTAAAAAATTGACTCCACAAATATTTTAGGAGAATTAGAGAACAGTTTAATGTTAATATTTAAATGCTATTCTGAAAATTGAATTAAAAATAGTTATTTCATGTGATGATAAGTAAATACTGAACACAAGGGTCTTAATTAGCTCTGTCTGGTTGAAAAGAAAAGAAATAAGGAGGAAAACAGAAAAGAAGAAACAGTTCTTTCAGAAACAACTCTAATATTCCTTTTAGACACTAGGTTGAAATTTCTTAAATTTTAATCAATTTTTCAGATATGTGAACTCCTATAAGAAATGGAAATAGTGCTATAAACATGTTCCTAAAACAAGCTACTTCAACTTTCATAGTTGAAGAAAATCAGTTTTAAAAAATTATCTAAACTGGGGACTTTGGGAAGATGGAGATCTACGTTTTTCCCTCTTTTATCCAGCTTTCCCTAAATTTTACATCTAAGTACAACTGAAAACCCTGGCCATTTTATTAAAACTGACATGAGAATCTGGACAAGAATAAGTCAGAATGATTAGATACCTTAGGAGAAGGAATGAAACAGCAGCATGTTTCGTGGATTTTCTTATACCTTGGATATTTCAGACAAAGCCAAAGAGCCAGCAATCTAGAAATGCCACCAGGAAGAAACAAATAAAGCCCCAACAAAAACCTGTTCTCTTTAGCTGAGAAAGGGGAAGCCTAGCCAGCCAGAAAGAGAGTAACCATTCTTTTCAGCCAAACACCAGAGAAAAAAATTGTGATCCATCATCCACACGATCAAAGGCCAAGTGGGGGATCCTAGACTACCACCCTTGCAAGACTCTAATGAGACATCTAACACCCCCTTCCTTTCATGGACACCCAGTACTTTCATCCCATATGGCAGTAATGAGATGCCTTTGTTATCTCTGGGCTATGTCAGAGGAAACTTATTGGAGAGCCAGGATTTTTACCACTGCCCAGTGGTGAGGAAGCCAAAGGTACCATCTTGTTAATGAAGAGTAAATGGGGATGTGGAACTCCTACCTCTGTCCAGCGATAATGAGTTGCTCACCACCCTTGGGTGACATCTGCCTCTGCTTCCTAGTAAAAGGTGATACTCCTCTACCCTGCCAGAGGGGTGTCAGGAAAAAAAAAAAACAAAACTGCCTAACATGTGAAATTTAAATATGATCCACAGTCTCTTAACATTAATATGTAAATGTCCAGTTTTTAAGGTTTCAAATAAAAATCACTTATACCAAGAACTGGAAAAGTTTCACATTGAATGAGCAGTAAAACCAGTGACAAATGTTAGAATTATCTGAAAAATATTTTAAAGTGTTCATGATTAAAAATGCCTCAGTAGCCACTCTTTCCCTTCAAGAAGCCAGTTCCAGGGTCTGCTACCCTGTGAGGGTTTGAGGCCGGACTCAAGGGTGGCACCTTCCAAGCCCACCCCCAATATCAGCTTTCTCTGTGGACTACCATTCCCTTCCTTTTACCGCACTCCACAATAACCACTTCTCCCAATTTTTCTGTTCTCCCTCATCCTCATACAGCTTCCATAAGCCTCCCCACTACCTTTCCCACAGGTCCAAGCCCACAGCTCCTCTGTGGCACAATTTTTGACCTCCATGGGTGATTGTCCAGGAAAAACAGAGAAGAGACCAGGACCCGAGTTGTATAGAGGCTGCCTGGATAGGCTTAGGAGCCTTTTTAAGGGATCTCCCTACCCCTCCCCAGGGGCTTTGGTACCTTTCCAAGTCTCTGGGACTCCCCGTCCATTTCCTGCCACTCTGTCAGGAGATTCAAGTATGGAGGATCACCTTGCTGTTATGTATGAAAGACTGAGATAGGAGCTTCCCATCTCATCCTTCACTCCCATAACTATACTCTCTAATCATCAAATGTGGAATTCATCAGTGAGATCCTGAACACATGTACTAAGTGCAGACATGGTACCTTTTGTCACTGACCCTCCGCTGCTTCCTGGCCTGAAACTATTCTGCATAGCTTCAGTTGGATATTCTGTAGTTGCCAACCTGAGAAATTGAGCTTGCAAACCTGGGGGTAGCTTGTGGGGCTCTTCCTGTGTTTGTACAAATGTGACAAGGAAGAGTTTTTTATGTCCTATAATGCCTATTCTACCTTCTACCTGAATTCCAGTGGTCTCAATACCTATGAAGAAGCTGATAGTGGGAGCCCCTGGGTACTTTGGTGTGGTAGAGCCAGAACATAGCTTACACCTGTGCCCTGAGGCCTAATCCAGGAAGTGGAGTAGAGGCATCACTGAAGACTTTGCTACACACAAGAGGAGTAGGTGTGTAGGTGGCCTAGAGTCTGAGGAGCCAGCATTTTCCCATGTATTTTTTTTTTAAGATTTATTCATTCATTCATTCATTCATTCATTCATACAAGCACTGGGTACAGCCGAAAGCATGGGAGAGTGAGAGAATTTACCAGTCAGAGCAGGGAGCAGAACAGGCAGAAGGACCGAAGTATACTGCTGAGGGGAGCAGCGGGCGGCAGGAGAGGTCTGCGCACCTTGTGGGACCCTCCTCCGGTGGCTGGGGAGCAGCCGGGCATCGAACTGGTGCTGCAGAGGCTGCGGGCAGCCTCGCAACCCAGCGCTCAACCACTGCACCACCAGGGAGGCCCTTCCCATGTATTTTCTTTTCCTTTCCATTTCATGCTGTGTAAAGCAACTTGTAAATAATAAAATTTAAGTGAACATACGAGAATAAAATGCTTCAATAAGCAATTAACAAACACAAACAAATGAAAAAATGGAAAGCTTCAACAAAGAAATAGAAAGTCTCAGTATTTAAATAGAACATAAAGAAAGGTAGAGATTTTTTAACTTAAAAATTTATTTCCAAAATAAAGTTTAGCAAATGGACAGCAGAAGGAGAGGACAGAGGAAGGAATTAGTGAACTGGAAGGTGAAACAATACAATTACCTAATTTGAACAACAAAGAAATAGAGTGGGAAAAAAAATGAACAGAGCGTTAGGGACTTAACAAAAGATCTAACATTTGTGTTACCAGAGATTTGGAAGGAGAGAAGAATGAAAAAAAAAATTACCAACTACCCAGACTTGGCAAGAGACATGAACTCAGATTGAAGAAGCTGTATGAACTCCAAGTAGAGTAAACCCAAAAGCTGTGAAAGCTTAAAAGATAAAAATCAAAAGCAACTACAGAAAAATGACTCCGTACCTGTGGGGAAAAACAGTTCAAATGACAGTGGATTTTTCATCACAAACCGGAGATCAGAAGGAAGTGGCAAAGTATATTTTAAGTGCTGAGCAAAAGAACTATCAGCCTATAATTCTGGATCCAATGAAAATATCCTTTAGGATTGAAGGGAAAATCAAAGACATTTTCGGATTAAAAAAAAAAGAATTTGTTACCAGCACACCTACTCTAAGAGAAGCTATAGGAGGTTCTCTAGTCAAACAGTAAAAGGAACTATCAGGAAGAAGAACATGTTAAGAAAAGTAACATGTTTCATTTTCTTGAATATTCTAAACTATGGTGGTTGAAGCAAAAATCTTAACATTGTCTACTGTGATTCTAAATTTGTGTAAGAGGAAATACCTAAGGCAATCTATTATAAATAGAGTAGATAAAAAGGGTGGTTCATTAGGGTTTTCCAGAGAGAGAGAGACTGATTGATTGACTTTAAGAGATGCAGTTTGTAGGGACTGAAAAATCCAAAATCTGCAGAGGAGACTGACAGGCTGAAAATTCTGGCAATAGCTGATTTTTCAGCCTTGAATCTTAAGACTAATCAGTCTGGAGTCAGAATTCCTTCCTATTCTAGGAACTAGTCCTTTTCCTTAAGTTCTTCAGGTGATTGGATGATGTTCACCTGCCTTAAGGTGTGTAATCTGCTTTACTCAAACTCTACAAGTTTCAATGTTAATCCCATCTAAAAATACCTTCCTAGTAACTCTGAACTGTGAATTTGTCTAGGCACCATAGCCTAGCCAAGTTGACAGCATAAATAGTTATCTATCACAGATGGTTAAATTGGCGGAATGACTGATAAGTATGCATAGGGTCTGATATGTCAAGCAACCACTATGACAATATAGAGAAATACATTCAAAATAATAGTGTTGATTTTTTAATTTTAAAAAATATTCAAATAACACACAAGAGGATGGGGGGAAAAAAAGGAAAATGAAAATTGGTACAAAACAGAAAATGAAATGGTGACTTAAGTTCTAATGTATCACAATTACATTAAATATAAGTGTGTAAACTATGCCAAATTAAAGGACATTGGCAGACTACATTAAAAAATGTGGCAAAAAATGTGCTCATTCAAGAAACTCACATCAAATTTGATATTGACTGACTGAAAAAGTAAAAGGATGGAAAAAGACATGTAATGCAAACAAAGGAAAGCAAGAGTGGTTCCATTACAGTAACTTCAAAGAACATTACCAAAGTCAGAGAAGGACATTATATAATTATTAAAGGGGTCAACCTACCCGGAAAAGATAAAAATTCTGAATGCATACCTACAAAATGATAAAATTAAAGAGTGATAGACAATCTAGAATAAGAGTTGAGAATTTAATACCACCCTCCCCCAGAAATAGAACTACTAGATAGAACATTTGCAAGGATATAGAAGACTTGAAGAACAGAATCTCATCAGTGGACTCTAATTTGCATATATGGAATGCTTGATCGATAGCAGAATAAACGTTTTTTAAAAGACAATGGAGTATTCACCAAAATTGGAATGTAAAACATATAAATTTAAAAGTATTGAAATCGGGACTCCCCAGTGGCGCAGAGGTTGAGCGCTGGGTTGCGAAGCTGCCCGCAGCCTCTGCAGCGCCGGTTCGATCCCCGGCAGCTGCCCGGCCACCGGAGGAGGGTCCCACATGGTGCGCAGACCTCTCCTGCCGCCTGCTGCTCCCCTCAGCAGTGTACTTCCGTCCTTCTGCCTGCTCTGCTCCCCGCTCTGGCTCTGGTGAATTCTCTCACCTTCCCGCGCTTCTGACTGTACCCAGTGCTTGTATAAATTAAATAAAAATAAATAAATAAATAAATCTTAAAAAAAAATAAAATAAAAGTATTGAAATCATATGATGTGTTCTTAAACTACAGAACTAATTCAGAAAACTAAGAATTAATATTTTTCCATTCCATCCTTTCCAGAAAGTAGAATTTTGTTGATCTCTTCGTCTACTGATGGATGCTTGGGTTATTTTTACCTTTTGGCTATTGTGAATAGTGCTGAAATGTACGTGTGTGTACAAGTATCTCTTTGAGTCCCTGCTTTCTACTTCTGCGGGTATATACCTAGAAGTGGAATTGCTGAGTCATAAGGTAATTTTTTGTTTTGCTTTTTGAGGAATTGCCAAAGCGTTTTCCATAGTGACTGTACCAGTTTATATTCCCACCAGCAACCAATGAGAGTTTCAGTTTCTCCACATCAACTCAATGCTTATTTTACCTTTCTGGGATGATAGCCATCCTAGCAGGTGGGAAGTGGTAACTCCTGACCTTGGGCATCTTTTCACGTGCATATCTTTGGAGAAATATGTCTTCAAGTTCTTTGCCCATTAAAGAAAATGTTGTTTACCTTTTTGTTGTTGAGTTTATGAGTTCTTTTTATGTTCTTGATATTAGATCCTTGTGAGGTATGATTTACAATACTTTATTCCATTCAGTAGGTATTGTCTTTTCACTTTCTGAATAGTGTCCCCAAAGTTTTAAATTTTGACGAAGTCCAATTTACCTATTTTTTTCTTTTGCATGTGCTGTTTCTGTTTTTTTTTGTTTTTGTTTTTTGTTGTTGTTTTTTCGTAACAGAACCATCAGCAAATTTATCAGATGTTGTTGGGTGGTATTTTCCCACTGATGGTCAGAGTAGGGCTTGAATTACTTTTTTTTTTTTTTTTTTGGTTCAAGATCAACAACAAAAAAATAACTCTTAGTTGCCACTGAGTAAGTATCTAATATGTGCTAGATGCCTTTGGGAGAGATTAGAAGATAGTCTTTTTTATCTTTGTCTGGAGAAAATTTAAGGTAAAACCACTGCTAATATATTGACTGCACTAATCAGGTTCCTAGCATCTGCCCTGGATCATATACACTCCCATACTTCAGCCTTTGGAGGCTCAGGTTTCTTATTTCTGTACTTCATTGAAATTCTTACTTAATTCAGCTAGCTTTTTATTTTACCTGCCTAGTTCACTGTCATCTTTACCAGCTGTTTAATAAACTCAAGATAAATGGGTTCTTCATAGATTAACATTTGAACCAGATTTTAAATTTGTTTTAATGTACTACAAAAATGAGAATTTCCCTCACATTCATAACTGAAATTCCTTTAAGAGACTATACATGTTGAGTTGTTAATTAAAATAACTAGACTTTTCCTATTTGTGGTGTGAGGGCTTTTTCTCTGGTATACTTTTGCTCAGATGACTCAATAAATGTTCACTTTTTTGCATGAACTATGAAAACACCAATATTAAGTGTTCTGTCTGTTTGGTATGACTTTTTCTGAATTTTTTCCCCACCAGCGGATCTAAAAAGAACAATAGCTGTCCTTTTGGATGACATTTTACAACGCTTGGTAAAGCTGGAGAACAAAGTCGACTATATTGTTGTTAATGGCTCAGCAACCAACACTACCAACGGTACTAGTGGAAACCTGGTGCCAGTAACCACAAATAAAAGGATAAATGCATCAGGCAGCATTAGATAGCATTTGAAGATCACCTTGTGCTGCTACATCCACTGTGGATTATGTCCTATGACAGAAAAGCTTTTTAATTGCTGATAGTATAGAATAATGCTTTATAATAAAAGCTCTACATATTTACATTTTTGGAAATATGCTGGATTCATGGAACTCTGTATCTGTATATAAAATTTTGAAGCTATTAGTTTGCTTTCAGACAAGTCTCTTCAATGCTGTACTATATTCTTAAAGGGAGATTGATAATGTGGTTGATGTAGTAAGCAGGTAGGTGATCTTTGTATAAATCTTCTGTGTTTGAGATCAAGTTGATACTAAAACACTGAAAACATGGATTCATTTCTATAAAATATTTATTTAAACATGTACCATATTTTTCAGACATTATTGTTATAAAGTCAGTCTCATTTGTTCTCAATAGGTGTAAATGTTAGACTAACGCTATTAGAAAATGTGCTTACTTCCAGTACTATATTTTGTTACTCAGATTATGAACAGAAAAAGAAAATGTAATGTTGAAAATAACGTTTGAAAATCATGACCCAAAGAATGTCTTTATTTGCACTATCCTTCAGAAATAACTGAAGATTAATTATTGTATATTTTTAAAAACTTAACATTTGTAAGAGTATAATCTTGAAAATGGGTAGTAACCACTGTCTGTAACTTAAACATTGGGGCAATTAAATGATAGTAAAGTAGTAACTCCAATCTCATATATAACATTTTCTTACATATATTCTGAAGAATAAAAGATATTTTTATGAGGTTAAAAATAAGTAAAGTATTAATTCATGATTTTTCTTATACATGAATGTTAATTTAAGTTTAACCCTTTGTGTATACTATTAGGAGAATGTATTTGAATATTTGGGTAATTTTTGTTTTTATCACATTGTCAAGGGATTGGGACACTGAGATATTTGTGAAACTGGGACTCTTAAGGACTTTAGCGAGGTGCATATAATAAAGGTGTTTGTGTTGCAGTAAATTGCTTAGAAAATGTTAACATATGAGAATCCTGCTTTATGAAATTTTGGGTTTGAATAACAAATACATTCATTTTATATAAAGATTGCTTAAACTCATTAAGAAAAATACAATATAAATTATGAAGATTGATTATCTTTTTAGGAAAACAGCTATTGTATATAGCACAAGAGATCCTAATCTTGGGTAATTCTAGTATAAAACAAAATACATCTTTATTTAAATTTCCCTTGTAGCAAATTTCATTGCCATATGGTGCCCTATATTTAATAGTATTTATTCTCTGTAATAGCTGCTTAAGTGCAGCTACCTTCTAGATTTAGACTATATTGAATTTAGTTTTTGGTTATTGTATTGTTCATTATTACAATATGCTATCAAATGTAGTAGCAATAATTATGCTATTTTGTTAAAATAAGTATGAGAAAATATTGTTTCTTGAAAGGTAGCTTTCCAAACTTTTGTGTACATTTATGTGAAGAACTAAATTATATACCATTGCCAGATGGAGTTTGGAATAATTGTTCAGTCACTCTTATTAGATGTAGACATTTTTGGTGTTTGTTTTCAGGGATGAAATAAAATATATTATTTGTACTTACAAAGTGTTAGCATAAACTTTTTTTCTTTAATGATGGCTGTGCACTTACTAAATTATTAAAGGGAATATTAGATAATTTGGGGGTGTGTTCCACCTACATCAGATAACTTTTTCAAGAGAAAAATGGAAACTTACCTTATCCAAGGTAGGAGAATCTGAGTCCAGGAATCAATTGGAATAAATCTGGGGATTGTGACTGGAAGTGGTGCCTAGGTTTGTACCCTCACTTAAAGTTCACTGTTGGGTTTTTAAACATCAAGATTTACGTATATATCTTCAGTTAATCTTAGTTATTGAGACATTAGCATAGAGGGTAGTGAGTCATAGGGCAAGCAGAGAGCCCTTAGGGTCAGAATAGAATAGGAAAATCCTCAGAGTAATGAGACTTCCATATAAGGGCAACAAATTCCAAAGGGAACTAATCAAACACCCTAGGACTAGGGACAGGACATTCCACACACACAAAAAGGATGATAAAAGGATGCTACAATACGGGCCAGGATGCAAAGACTTAGTTCTGGCAACAGACATCAAGGCAGTGAGTGAGACCACCAAGAACTGACCAATCACAAGGAAACTGGTGGAGCTTTAGAATAATCAGGGAAAGAAGGTATGTATTCCCTGAGGCATGACTCCACTTCAGCTTCCTTGCCCCTCCCTGGCCTGGTTCCACTGGCCCGGGAGTCCCACTTTATTTCTGTTCTTTTTCTCCTTAATAAACGTTTACTTTCTTTAAACCCATTTGTCTCTTTTCGCTTGCTTGCCTGAGCGTCAGCAAAGTTGTGCTGTGGTTTTGTGAGACACCAACCCTGGGTGGTCTAGTGGCTGGGATTCCCCTCTGCCACTGCAGCCTGGGATCCGTTCCTGGCTGGGAGACCTAGGCCTGAAAACCAGAAATTACGGTGTCAATATCACTAAAGGTACTAAAAACATTCAAATTTATTTCAGAATAACTTATGTTTACTTTAAGCACTATACTGATAAAGTAATCTAAACATTATTTCACATAATGATTACTCAGGTCTTAACTCATTTAGGACCTTGACCCTGCAGTTACTCCAGATTTTAAAAATTGAAGTTGAGAAAATTTGATTCTTCCATTCCTTTATGCTTTTGGCAGGTAAGTGGTTTCTAACTCAGTGCCTCCAACTCCAAACTGTTGATAGAGCCTATCCAATGTGACCCCTTGAGATTTTTGGTAAAATGGAGTATATCTAAACCTTTTTAGTTCTTAATGATGCCGGCATGTGTAACAACTGCTGCCGCTTTACCATGAGTTCTTGCCTCGCGAAACCGTAGAAAGGAATTCACAGACTTTTTGGAGTAAGTAAGCAGAGAGAGACAAATCTTGTCTTTGAAGGAAAAGTTTATTTTAGGAAGAAAAGAGACAAAGAAGAAAGACTCCCAGGTATAAAATACCTGGGAGGGGCCAAGATGAGCCGGTATGGGATATTACATTGGCAATATATATTTTTTCTCCCTCATTATGTTTAAATTTCACTCTTTCTCTCCCTGATTGGTTAACTCCCAGAGGGTCTTACACTTACTAAGTGGGAAAATTTCACATTCCTTATCTAACAGCTTTCCCTTTCCCCATTTGTCATGCTTGTCACTCTATCTTTATGGCCTAGTCCTCCGGGTGTGCATCTCTACACTTTATCTTTATGGCCTAGTCCTCTGGGTGAACGTCTCTACATTGAAATTAAGCAGCTGCCCTTCTAAGTTGTCCATAAATGAAACCACTCTTCATTTCTCCAGTCTCCACCTCCCTTTATCACCTGAAGAAAACCAGGACCATCGTTAACAGCATTAATATTGTCCGTGGTTCTGGGGTGTTTGTTTTTCCTAATGGAATTGGTTATATTCCCTTGGTTGTCCTTATCTCTGAATCCTCCCTAAATTCTTCAGAGGTCCCCTCCTGCACTGTCCCTGAAACTGCCTAATAACCCTAACTTGCCCTGTGTCTCATTAAGAAAATATATATAAGAAGAGTGATAGTATTGGAACTTTAAGCTTCTAGCACAAGACCTTGCCCAAAGGGATTAAGACACAGCACTATGAAGCTATCTGTAGCCGCTGCATCATGAGATCGATCCCTGGCCAGGGAGGTGACCCACATGGCGCAGCAGACCAAGAGACCTTGCCCAAAGTGTTCATTATATATTAATTTCACATATAAAAATGAGTCTATGGAATTAGCATCTATAAAGGATTAGAAAGGTATTTCATATTTCTACAATACTTAGATTGTATCACAGTTCTTATCTAGGATTTACAGTTTCCTAAAAAACCTTGAGGGATACTTAGTGCAATGTTTCAAATGTCAGGTTCTGATCCATTAAGTAGATATGAAATCCATTTGTGGGTTCTCACCAGCATTTTGAAGTAATGAAATAAAGTTGAGGTATCAATTGCATCATAAGTAATATTGGTAACTGTCTCCTGAAAATTTTTTTTTTAAAGATTGATTTATTCATGTATACGAGGGTGAGAGGATTCACCAGAGACAGCAGGGAACTGAACAGGCAGACTGACTGAAATACACTGCTGAGGGGAGCAGCAGACAAATCAGGAGAGGTCTGCTGCGCCATGTGGCTTGCCCCCTGGGCGGCCGGGGATCAAACTCATGCTGCAGAGGCTGTGGATTGCTTCATAGTGCAGGGGTTAACCCGTTGTGCCACCAGGGAGGCCCTTAAACAGTTACATTATTATTATTATTGATACAGGACACTGGCCCAATAACATAAAAATAGAAAACAACAGCTGGAAATTTATCTTAGTCAATGTTCATAGATAAAAGGGCAAACCATTCTTTCCATTATTTTCTATAAACTTTTTCACACTGAAATCTGATGTCATTTAAATTCTGGCTCTTTGCCAAACTACTACATGAAGAGGATGCTGAAGCCATCACTGCTCAGCACACTGCTATATAAAGGACTGTTCCCTTCACCAATTTGGCTCACTTCCAAAATATACTCAACAATGCAGTTTTATTTCAGTCCAGGAGGCTGGGTGCCAAGGATTGGAGATATATTGGAGATATATATATATATATATATATATATATATATATATATAAAAAATTTGGCAAGATCACACTTAACAAACTGAAAACTGAACATAGCAGACTGCCTCTATGATAGCACCCCTTGAACTGTATACTATATTGTCTTGACTTTGAGGTCTTATCAATCCTACATGCCATAGTGAAGCCGGTGAAGCCCCAGCCACATCTTGATGTAAAATTTATATACAATAATATGCACACAATTTTAAGTGTACATTAACTGAGATTTGACAACTGCATTAGCTTTTTCTCAAACTCCTATTAAAATACAGAACATGGAGTTGAACCATTGGCCACTATGATATTTGCGAGAGGCACTGGAACACTTTTTGGTCTGTGAGAATTCCAAACCTCCAGTTGGATAAGAGGTGCCACCAGTGTATGAAGGGCAGACTATCAGGATTACAGGATGTGAAAGTTGAGTCATCTGTAAAGTTAATCATTATCCTCTGACAGTAGAGGATGACAGCCCAATTCCCAGGTTTATGCTGTACACTGTTACAAATATTGATGAATACTGTTGCCCCACACTAAACTATAACAATACTAAGTTTTTTCTTTTGCTAATTAAAAAAAAAACACTATTAAGTCAAATTATATAGATCTATATCAAGTCAAGGGAAACTCTTCCCTTATCCCCGTTCCCTTGCAAACTTACTCCCATTCCTGCAACTTCCTGGAACTATTAACATAAATAAGTCACTGGAAAAAGACATTATAATGAAATAACTTTAGGGTCATCCATCCCAGTATTTTGGCAAAAAAAAAAAATTAAATTTACTTCTAAGAAGTATGAAAGAACATCCTTTGAAGAAAGAGCTCACTGAAATTTGACTTTCTTGGCATTATACAGAAATAATGAGCCTAACGCATGCCAGTCCATTAGCCAAGGACAGCGGTGTCAAAACTGATTTGTGTACAGGGTCTCCCTGGTGGTGCAAGGGGTTAAGCACAGTACTATGAAGCTATCCGCAGCCTCTGCAGCACGAGTTTGATCAGCTGGCAAGGGAGCTACCCACATGGTGCAGCAGACCTCTCCTGTCTCACCCACTGCTGCCCTCAGCAGTGTATTTCAGTCAATCTGCCTGTTCTGTTCCCCATGCTGTCTCTGGTGAATCCTTTCACCTTCCGCACCTTTGGCCTGTACCCCAGCTATTGTATGCATAGATAAATAAATCCTTAAAAAAAAACAAAACTGATTTGTGTACAATCACTGGCTTCCCACTTCCAGATAAGACATGGCTCTTTTCAAACAGTTGTGTCACTGGTTTGATGAGCCCAGTTAGCTCCATGGGTCATGTTGTGGTTCAAGACATTGCAGACAGCACTGTTACACAGAGAGAAGATTAACATGGTTTTTGAAAAGGAGAACATTCATACAACTTGATTTTTTTTTTTTAAGATTTATTTATTTATTTATACAAGCACTGGGTACAGTCAGAAGCGCGGGAGGGTGAGAGAATTCACCAGAGCCAGAGCAGGGAACAGAACAGGCAGACTGACGAGATATACTGCTGAGGGGAGCAGCGGGCACAGCAGGAGGGTCTGTCGCGCCATGTCGGACCCTCGCCGATGGCCGGGGATCGAACCGGCGCTGCAGAGGCTTCGGGCAGCTTCTCAGCCCAGCGCTCAAACACTGTGCCACCAGGGGAGACCCTAACTTGATATTTTTTTAAAGATTTATTTATGCACACAAGAACTGGGGTATAGGCCAGAGGTGCAGGGGTGATAGGATTCACTAGAGACACTGTGGGGAGCAGAATAGGTGGTTCTACTGAAACACACTGCTGAGGGGAACAGTGGGTGAGACAGGAGAGATCTGCTGTGCCATCAGGGAGGCTGTTTTTTATAATCAGGACTGTGGTTTTTATAATTACACTTTTTTATAATCAGGACTATTGTTTCTAGAGAGCTATTAAGGAAAATGATGATGTCCACTAAAAAAAAACTAAAACAAAACAACAACAAACCAAATTTTTTTTTTTTTTATA